GGAAAGGAGAAGGCCATTTAGTAGGGCTGTCCCCATCCTCAGCACAGCTGTGTCTGGGAGGGAGAGCAGGGCCATAATGCCTGTGCCGGGGCCCCTGCGGGCATTGGGAACGCGCCCTGGAGCAATTGAAGGCATGCGGGAGGGGCGGGAGCCGGGAGGGCTGCGTCTCAGGGTGCCCTGCTCGGTCGTGAATCCTACGTAGGGTCCAGCCTCAACGCCGCTTCCCCCACCACCCCCCGCAGGATTTGCTGTCCTCGAGTCCCTGCGTCCCGCGGACACGCAGCTCTGCAAATGCGTGGTTGGGATTTGGTCGTTTGGTTCGGGCGTTCACATTCCGAGCGAAGCCATTTGCACCCTGAATCATCATCTAAGAGTTCTTTGCAGCCGAAAAGCCAGCACTACCCGATCCTGGTGCACCTCCGTCTCTCCAGGCCCTTTCGGGGGCCCGGAAAAAACTCGGAGATTCCCACCGCAGGGACGCCCACTCGAGCGCGTGTCTCGGGCTGCTTGGGAAGGGGACTCACACCTCAGTTCCCTTGGGGGAGTTATGAGAGGGGTAGGGATGCGGGACGGGAAGGATCCCTGAAGCGCAAGAATACACCTTTAGCCAGGAGGTGTCCTGTGTCTACTGCACCGGTCATAACCGCGCCAATGCCCGAATCGGCTGGGGACCTGGACTTGGTCTCCTCCCGCTGCTGAAAGGAAGTCAGCCCTCGCCTTCCCCAGCTCTCCAGGGGATTTGGCTCGCTGGGCCCTTCTCCGGGCTCAAGCAGCTCCTGCCTCAGCACGGTGCGAAGAAAGGCGACGCGTGGAGCTCCCGGGTGAGGACGGCCACCTGGGGCACCCTTCCAGTCCTCCCAGCTCAGCGCCGCCCCCCGCCCCCTCCCCTGTCCAGCCCCGCCAGTCCGGGCACCTTAGAGTGTCCGCCCGCTTGCCCTGCTCCCACTTGCCCTAGTAGGCGCGCGTGGGCTCGGCGTCTGGCGCTCCCTCTTCCACCACCGGGCTCCAGCGCTGCCTTGTTTCCTGTTCAACAATATAACGAGGGAGGCACCGGCGGAGAGCGCTCGGCAGAACTTTCTCCCGGGCTGGGGCTGGGCTGCGGTTGCGAGAGACAGTCCCCGGTGTCCTAGCTTCCTGTCCGCTCTGGGCCGAGCCAGCGCCCCAGGAGCAGAGACGCCACCCTTCCCCCTGCACATCCCGAGATCCTAGGCCACACCTGGCTGTCTCTGGGGACCTGGAGGCCGCCGGGCCAGGATGGCAAGCCGAGGGTGGGGGATGGGGAGGGGGAACAGCCTCCTACCAAAACTCTCCTGGTCAGATTACTCTCCCGTTGCAACCCCCCACCCCCATCCTTGTAGGGGAGTAGGGGTCACCCTCCAGTCCGATGGTAACCTTCTGGAGCTCAGAGCAATTTTCTGGAGACAGGTGTGAGTGGAATTCCAGGGGCTCCACCTTAAAGGTCTTGGCTTTGGGCATCTTCTGCCTCCTGGGAAAGCTGCCTTGCCTGCCTTTCTGACTCCCCCATGCACTCACTCCAGAGGAGGGCAAGCCCCAGCCCCAGTGCATTCCTGCCGGTAAGGAACAGTTATGGCATCCACCCGGGCACTTGTCTTGAGAGGTGGCTGCTTCAGTCTAGTGTGCAGACGAGGGGGCCCCCACTCTTAGCACCCCCCTCCAACATCTCCCAAGGAGGGCTGAGAGTTTGGCTGGAACCTGAATCTAGTCATAGTCTTTCTTCAACTCCATTTCTTTAGCATCTCTAACCCGCTAGGGGCTGCCTACCAGTGAGTCCATTGTACTGGGTATGGGTATCTGGACGTGTCTGGGGTCTGGTGGCATCTTGGGATCCACCAGGGAAAGCGTGTGGCTCTTCCTGCATGCTTAGAAGGTGACTTGAATAGACTGGCTGTATGGCTCAAGTGGTAGAGTGTTTGCCTAGCCAGCATGAGGCACTGAGTTCAAGCCCCAGTACCGAAAAAAAAAAAACAAAAAAGGCTTGGATAGATGCTCCCTTCAATTCACCTGGTATGTCAGACTCCACCTGCCCTAGTTACTCAACAAGTCAGGCAGGGAGGCAGCAGTGGAAATGGTTTATGTCCTTGTTTGAAGTCCAGTGGTTGGATACACGGCTCTGCCTAGGTACTAGCCTTTAGGCGCTAGGGGTGCTGTCTTATGTCTGCATCCCAGGTTTCTCCCCTATCACCTTCGGCTGGCAACACCTACTTCATGGGCTTGCTGGAAAGATTAAATGAGATGTACTAAGCAGGATTCTGCCAAGTACGCACACTTTATAACTTTATAACTTGCTATTGCCACATTTGTTATTGGATGAATTCTTTGGGGTTGGGTTGGGGTCTCCAAAACCCCCATTCTCCTCTAGGCAGAACGGAGGAAGGGGAAACACTTGTCCTCAGAGACACTTTGATGAGGATGGATGGCCTGAGTCCACAGGCAGGCAGCACCAGGTCACAAGCCCAGGTCTGCCCTCCACTGGGTCTGCCTCCCCCACCCCCCCAAGCCCAGTTCCTCTTGCCTTCTCTGGGCTATCACCATATCTGTGGAGGAGGGGAGGTCCTTGGGAGAAGCTGGGGCTCATGGATGGATGGGAGGTACCCACTCAGACTGAAACGGATCTTTAATGGAGGGAAACTATAGAGCTGAATGCTGTGTTTTTTTGTCTTATTTTCCTGCAAACTGATTCCCCTGAGATTAGACTGCTTCTTTCTTTTGTTCTTATGTGGACAGTGGGGGGCTTCTTCCTGCAGGGCCCACTGGCCTTCTAGTACTTCTGAGGAAGGCCAGCAGCCAAGTGCCACTTTGAGCCCCTTCTCCACTTCTCCTATCCTCCTGAGCTTCCACAGGACTAAGTGTGAGAAGCTGTGTTCTGGCACTCAAGGCACAGGAAGAGAAGCCTGGGGAATGAGCTTCAGTTGTTACAGAGAGTGTATGTGAATAAACCTCCCAAGTCCTGAAATCCCACCCAGGGTACTGACCCCAGGGCATGATAAGGTGAGGCTGAACACTGTTGCTTACTCAGACTTCCCCCTCGCCACTTCTGGCACACAAGCCAGTGTGTGACAGTGGTCACAGAGACCCCTCCTCTGTGCCCAGGGACTAACAGGAGAATGGAGGGGGGGCTACCAGATGGTTCCAATGGCTGGTGGTCAAGATTTAGAAGCCAGACAGTGATTATCAGAAAGATCAAGTCTTTACTGCAAGATCATTCAAACATCACACAGCAGCAGCTCCTCCAATACATTGCAAAGCACTTCGCCAGAGCCAAGCCCTACTCACTAAAATAACATTTCAGGAACAGTGTGGGCACTACTGAGATTCACATGAGCTTCCCCTGGAGGCGCGGGGTTAAGTCAACTCACCTGACAGCATTAGCAGCTTGTTGGTAATGGGGAGGGGGCCAACTCTAATGCTCAGAATCCCAGGGATGGGAGAGGCCCTGCCAACTAGGGTCTCACTCCTGCTGTCTCCTTGGGCACCTTCTGGAATGTACTCCCAGGCCCAAGGCCCACCCCAGGTCACCCTCCTGCCTGCTTAGGGACCTGGGGGCAATGAGGCTCTGATCAGGCTGTTTGTGGGGGAGCAATAATGCTGGCTATGGGTGTGGGGTGGGGCCGTGCACTCACTTTCCAGCTCAGGTTCAGGAGGCTTTGGTGTTCTGGGCATGGTGTGCACCACCTTCCAGGATGGGGATGGAGGGGCTGTGTGACAGCCTCCACTGCCTGCCTACCGCCCCCTCTGCTCTATTGCACAATTCCTGAAGCTCTGTGGGGCAGGCAGGTGACTCACCAGCCTCATCTCAGAGAGGGTGGGGGAAAGCTCATCTCCTGACATTGACAGGTGCAGCTCCACCTGAGGCTTCCAACTCTAGGCTTGAGTATACAGTGGGATGGCCAGAGCGGCTGCTGGGTTCAGGAGAGGAGAGGAAGGCAGCAGAGACCATGTCCACATTCTCCCTAAGTCTCAAGGATCTGAACTTCACTTGAGAACAATTCAGCCTCCCAGTATCCTCAGGCTCCCTTAAAAGGCAGTCCTGCTTCTAGAACCTTTTTTGGGTAGAACTGGGTGAATTCATGGCTTTGTAAAACTGAGGTTTTATGGGGTGGCTTCTTGCAAGAGCCTGCACACCTCAGCAGTGGAAGGATGGCATCTCCACAGTGGGAGCATGGTGCCCAAGGTTGGCCACTGGCATGGGCTCGCTACCTTCTCTGGGGTCCCTGGCCTGGGCTTGCTGCTGTCTGTCCTAGCCGGGGTTAGTCAAGCAGGGGTGGCCCCTGCTGTCTGTAAGGAGTAAGGAGGGTGTGGGTAGAGGGTGGGCAAGACGATGGCCTTCCCTGAACCAAGGAAAGCTCAAAGTGCTGACAGTGCTGGTTTGGGGCCAGTCCCCTGCTCCTGCTGTGACCAGGACCCTAGGGGTCCTAATGTAGAGGAAGGGAGGAAACTTTTCAGGTGAGGACAGGGAGTCATGAAGAGGCAAGAGAGGAAGATGGTGGTCATTAGGACTGACCCCTCCCTGCTAGGGTCATGTGGCACTTGAGCTGTTGGCAGCAAGAGCCAGTAAGAGTGAAGGAGAGGCAGCAGCCCACAGCTGCCTGATCCTCTGCCTGCCTTCAGGCTGGGCCTGGGTGGCTCCTGCCCATCTGCTCAGGGTGGGAAGGCCTGGGTTCCTTGGGTGACTTGTATAGGGTCAGGAATAAAAAAATATTTTCTGTTGAAATATGAAGGGGGAAAAACCCATCTTAAAAAACTAGACCTTTTAGTCAGGAATGTGGAATTGAAAATGTTCCCCAAGTCTTGTTTCCACACAGTGTTTGAACAGCCCTGATGGAGGGACTATGACAGTGAGGTGAGCCAGGCCTGGTAAAAAGCCCCCTTTGACTATTGCTGGTGTCCCTGCCACCTGGAAAAGTCAGTAGTGAGAGACCATTGGGCATGGGCTTTCTCTGGGAGGCCTGTGCTCTGGGCACACCTGAGAGTCTTCCTCTTCCTCACTGGAGAGACAGAGGAGCCTGGCTGTCAACAAGGCCATCTGGGATGACTGAGCTGCAGCTCCCCTGGCCTCGGGTGGGTCAGACATTGGGGCTAGGTGAGAATGCTGTGTTCCTGGTACTTGCGCCGACGGGCACAGCGAGGGCAGCCCTTTCTCACCACCTCCTGGCAGCTCTGGTGGAAGGCGGTCTTGCACTCTGCACACCTGGAGAGAGCAGTAAGCATTGCTTGTGACAGTGAGGTGGGGTGTGCCCTGTGGTTGGGCTGGCCAGAGCTCTGGGCAGAACCCACAGTGAGGCTGTGTTCTGCACAGCCTGGGCCTGCATGCGTGCCCTCCAACCAACACTGAAAGCTACTTCAGATGATGCGACCTGTAGGCTGATACTCTGTGTCTCACTTCATTTTTTATAAGTGCTGCCTGAGTGCTCTAAGTTATTTCCTGCCCATCTTCACAGTACAATTGAACAGGCCCAAGCCTGTTCAGGGTTCATCCCTGGCAGGTAGACCTACTGAAGGTGAAGGACCACTGCCCACCAGGTCAACTTTCCACTCCCACTTGAGCTGAGGGAAGGCTGGGGGAGTTTTTCCATTTGAAGACTTCAGATAGTTAGAAATAACCTGGGACAAGAATGAGCACTACTCTTGCTGGGCCTCATGCATGCCAGTGCTCCAGGGCCAGGGCTGCATGGTGTGCAGCCTCTCCTAGGTTCATTTACAGATTGAGGTCCTGCTCAGAGCCAGCAGCTGCCTCATCCCTATGGCAGTGATAAGGGGGAAGAGGAGCCCTGGGAGCCCAGGGCACAGGTGGTTCTGGGCACCCTCACCACCCTGGGCAGTGGCAGAGTAGATTTACAGTGTGACCCTGCAAAACAGAGCCTGAGCTACCACCAGCGACACTGGGTGAGGCTGTGGGCGTGGGAGTGGCTGGTTGGGTGTCCCACATACCTGACAGTGGTATCAAACTCAAAGGGGAAGATAATGTCATGGTGGTGGCAGATCTGGCAGATGAAGCCCCGCTGGGTGCACAGGTTGCAGTGGTAGACGTGCTGCGAGGCGAACTCGATCAGGGCCTTGAGGAACCCTTCGTACACCCCCTCTGCGATCTGCAGGGGCAAGTGCAGGCTGGGCCTTAGGTGGTTGTGCTGCAGTGCTCTGGCGTCTTGCCTCAGACCCTCCCCCAGACCCATGAGGGTAAGGAGACCTCCCTGAGTCAGTCCAGCCTATGCCCTGAGGTCACTGGAGTATGGGGCTTAAAGATGAGGCCCACATCTATTCTCCTGTACCTGGAGGAAAGGAGTGTCCACTCTCCCCCTGGGATCCCGGGCATGTGCTGGAGGGGCTGGGGCCTGCCACTGCCCAGGAGGCTGGGGCAGCAGGGAGGCCGGTTCTGCTATCTGGCCCCCATAAATTGCAGCACCCCCTTGCTCATTTTCCTTTCTGATTTCTCTAGGAATGAGACCCCCTTCTAGGGAGGCCCAGGGGAAGCACGACACGCCCACCTGCTGGAGGTCAGTAACACTGAACTTGTGGGGAGACTCCAAGAGATAATTCCTGTGGTTGAGTCTGCAAAACAAACACAAGAGCTTCTTAGAAGGGCTCCCGCAGCCAGGACATCCCTGCATTGCTTGCTTTCTTTCCCTTAGCACCACCAACCAGCCAGAAACCCTCCCGCCTGCATTAGCCAGGAAGGGCTAGAGCACAGTCAGCCTGTCTGTGCTCCACCCCAGTCTCCTGGCTAAACTAACTAGCTGATGGAACCTTGAGTGAGTTACCTAACCTTTCTGAACCTCAGGTTTTTTCCCTTGAGAAATGGAGGTGTTTTGAGGACCAAATAATTTATTCAAAGTATTTGGCACAGTGGCCAGCTCATAGTAAACACATGACTAATAATAATAAGGAGGTTGAGAATGATGAATGCTGACGCTTGGTACCAGGAACTGGGCTGAGCCCTGACACATACTCATCCAGCAGATTCTCACAGTAATCCTGTGAGGCCAGGCCTATTGTAACCCCCATTTTGAGACAATGAGGAAGCATCTTAAATAACTTGCCTGAAGTCACATAGTTAAAAGACAGAGCTGGAGTTTGAATGTAGGAGTCTGGCTCCAGTTATCCATGCCATTGAGTCACTGCCATTACATACCAGGTACAGTGCTGGGGACAGAAGTACACAGCCATGGCCACTGCCCTCTGGTAGCCCCTGTCGAGCTGAAGGACAGACATTCAGGTATCTGGTTTTCATGTTCTGTGAGAGGAACTGAGCTGTGTTCTAGGCACAGCAGATCCCATTTCAGAGGTGGGAGGACAAAGAATAAGGCCTGGGCTACAAGCCCCGCCCTGGTTCCCACCATATCAATGGCAGGGACCCAGGTCACATCCTGAGGAATGGAGAGGAAACGCCTGCAGAAAATCCCTGGCACAGAACCCTGCTGGCCTGTCTGCATGTCTGGGTGGGTACTGGGGTAGAGGACACTCCAAGTCAGAGGGTGCTTGGGAACTTGTGCCTGGATGCCCCAGACACCTGGGGCAGAGGCGGCAAGTCCCCCAAGCGCCCTGGCAGGCCACATTGAGCCATGAGAATAAATTCATCACTCAGTTTACTATGCTGGCTTCCCCACTAAACTTTCAGCTTTCTGGGAAACAGAAGCTGCCACTATCACTGAGAAAACATGGGAGAGGGCAAAAACTGGCCCTGAGCTGGCAGGAAGGGGGGGTCTGATCTGATGGAGAATTATCCCTGTAATCTGCCCTCCCAGGTCCTTCCCTGGGAGCCACTGTACCCTGGGCCTGTCACACTCTCAGCAAGGCCTTGTAACTGATTTTTCTTCAATGCTTTCAGGACCAAAAAGAGCACTGGCCTGGGGAGAGGGGCCACTCATTCTGGCCTCTGGAGAGAAATGCCTGTGCACTGGGCACACCCCAGCCTGGGCCTTGGTTTTTCCACCCACACAATGAGGAGACCCCTGCCAGTGCTCTGGCATGAGGCTGCCTATGAAGGGGTCAAGGGAAATGTCAGGGCTCTAGGAGACAGGAGAAGGTCACTTCTTTTTTTTTTTCTTTCTTCCCCCACCCCCAGGGTTGCTTTTTTTTTCTTTTTTTGCAGAGGTTGGAAAGATTTTATTTGTAGAAAAGAGAAGAGAAAGACTGCATAATGGGGAATACAGGGGGACCTAGAAAACGGTGATCCTCCACGGTTGCTTCTTAACTCCTGTAACCTATGAAGTGAGGGGTAGAGGAGGCCCTGGCAAGGCTGAGAGGCCATGGGTCTTGAGTGGGTGGCCCGGGTGCCACTGTCTTGTCTGAGACCTACCTCCTTGTTGGCTTATTGGAAGGAGAACCAATGTCAGGTGGGGACATTCCTGTGGGGAGTTTCGGTGATGACTCCTTCCCAAAGGCCTGAGAGGTTGCTTTTGAAGACATGTCTCAGGCCTGCTGAGGATTCCCTTTCTCTGAGAACCCGCCACTGTGCTGCTGCTAGCACAGGGCAGCTCCTTCTGACTTAATTTCCCACAGTCAGCACCTGCCCATGTCTCCTCAGCCCCTCTGTCCCTCTCATCCCTACTCTGGCCATCACAGTCAGGCCTCCCTAGCTCTGGGTGTTGTCATACAAGCACCTTCCAAGGGCTCTGCTCTCACCTCTGGCACCACATTGCTGCCACAGTGGTCTTTCCCATACCTTTCAATGGCTCCCATGTGGGGAGATGAAATCCAAAGGCCTCCAGTGAGACACATAGGATCTTTGAGCTCTGGCCCCTGGCACCCACAGCCAGTTGCCCTGAGCGGTGCCCACTGCCCACCACAGGTCCTTCAGCCACAAAAAGCCAGGCCTTTCCCTTGCTCTTTCTTCTCTCTGGTTATTATTCTAACTCCTGGCATTGTGGTAACGATTGGGAGCTGACAAAAGTGGAATTTGAGAAGGCAATTTGAATGTTCTGCTTTACTGCCTTTTATAAAGTAGTACTTTGAATACTGACCATCTTTACAAAGAAGAAAAGTATCTTTTTAAAGAAAAAAAAACTCCACAAACCCTCAGCTCAGACGTTACCTTCTCTGGGAGTTCCCTGGCCCACAGGCCCCTGCCCAGGCTGGGTCAGCATTCTCCTTCAGGGCTGACCCAGGCCATGTGCCTGTCATCTATGGTTGTTTGTGGCCCTCACCACAAGGAAAGCCACATGAACACAGGATCACTGGCCCATTTTATAGTTGGCTAAGCTGGGCTCAGAGAGGCAAAGCCATTCCCCCCAAGTCATGTGGCCCAGGGTTGCTCCATGCTCTTTGCCTGCCCTCTGCTTCCTCTAAAATGGAACTTCCACAGGTGTGGCCTGCCCTTTAGTAGGCTGGCTGCACAATCCGTGTGCAGTGCTGCAGCCCAAGGATGGATAGCAGGTCAGGGAGATGAGGCAAGCTGGCTTGGGCACCCACTAGGGGTTGCTCAGAGATGGTTCAGCAGCAAGACAGGTGAGGGTGGCCTGCACCTAGAACTCACCCTGCAGGCACCTAGTCCACACAGGTCTGTAGGTCTACACAGGTGCCAGGGAGGATGATAAGCCCTCTCACCCCTGGGCAGGGGTAGGAAGGCAGATTCTCTGAGGCCTTGGGCTGTGGAATCTCAGAATGAAGTGAGTCAGCCTCACTGCAAAGGGGAGACCCCAGGTATCTGGGTGATGTTGGGGTGGCAGAGCCCATAGGGGGCTTTCTTCTCTTTCAGGCCCTTCAGAAGACAAAGCCCTGGGGCATCAGCTGGATGTTCTGCTGGGCTGAGAGGGGCCAGCTTTCTCCTTTGCCTAGCAGAAAGCTTTTGCAGCACTTCTTTGAGAAGCTGGGGTATCTGCACTGGACACACCAGGCCTGAGGAGCAGAGCAATGGGCCTCTGGGAGAGCTGAAGGGCATCCAGGCCCCAGAAGACACCCTCAGACGGTGCTTTCTGTCCCATTCCTTGGGAAGGTGAGGCTGGGGAACTGGACTGCAAGCTCCCTCCCCAGTCTCCAATGACCCAGCAAAGATGGACACAAAGCCCATGCTGCGTAGCGGGCCTGGCTGTACCCTAAGGCCTGCCCTGCTAAGAGCCCCGGAGAGTGTAGCCTCTCAAAGGCTGCACCCTGTGCTGGGTTCATGACTGGGAGGCATTTGTGACAGGCACAGAGGACCTCTAAGTCCATCCTGAAGCCAGCATCACCTCCTGGCCATGAGCACAAAAGGCCTCAGGCTCTGGATAGAGGGGATCTAGAAGGGCCTCCTCAGGGTGCTGCAATATTGGGGTGTGGTCTGCCAAGGACAGCAGTCAAGGGATGAGAGCAGGCTGGGCTTTGCCTCTCTGGCTGGCGTCTCATCACTCCCCCTGCTTTCCTTCCCACTCTGGCCAAAGTTCTCCCTGTGCCTTTGATGTATTTTGTCACCCTTTGTGGCTCACAAAGGTCATTCTTTTCCCTCCTCTTCCCCTTTTTAACTCCTATTCACTTTTCAGGTCGTACTTTAGGAGTTACATCTGCCAGGAAGTCTTCAGGCTCTGTCCTCCCCTAATCCAGATCAGAAGTCTCTCCTTTGTGCTTCCAGCATCTCTTTCCTCTCTCTCCACCCTCACCCCCTTGTTGGAGGTATTGCTGGCTCATCTGCACTCCTTGCCATAGTGTTCCAGAGGGAGGCCCGGGTCTACCTTGCTCAGCCTTCTACAGAGACAACTTGCCTGGCTTGTTGAATGAATGAGTGAATATATGAACAAAACCCAAAAACCAGTGCCAAAGAATGCAGTGATTTCATAAGCACAAAGGGAAATTCTCCACCCAGCTCTGGTATTTCTCTCAGGTGGACAACTTGCTGGGCTCATGGTGTGCAAACGTGCAGGTGGAGAGTGTTTACTTTGGCTCAGCTCCTTCAGGGCACCACTCCGGCACAGACCCAGGAAGTCTCCCAGAAGCTTCAGTTGCTCCTGGCTCCTGCCAATGAGGTGCATGCGTTCCACATGGTCGTACAGAGAGGGGTTCACCAGCTGCAGGTTGATGAGGGGTTGGGCCCGGATATGCATCAGAAACTTCAGAGCCTGCCGGCAGACCTGGGGGTGCACACAAGAGACGGGCTGTTCAGCTAGCAGCTCTTGGTCACTGCAGTAACCATTCCCTCACCTGCCTTGCAGCCCACTCCTCGGGAGGTGGCACTATATTAATTTTATACACCAGGAAACTAAGCATAGAGAGATGAGGCCACAGCTCAGAAATGGTACAGTCAAGATCTCAACCCAGTTTCTCCTACTAAACCTACTTGCCCTCTAATGGCACTTGTTGTGCCCTCATCAGACCGTGCTGAGATGAGAGGTCAAAGTCCCCACAGACCTTCCCACACTTTCCTGTCCACCCAGCCCCCCTTTTCCTGCTTAAAGGAAACAGGCGCTCCCCTGTGGGTCCTGACTCAGGAACCTGGTGACTCTGCTGTCATCAGGTTTCAGCCACAGGAAGTCACAGAGCAGACGCAGCTTTACAAGATCCCAATTGTCCTGCCAGGGCTCCCTGTGATTCTGTGGAGCTGAGTGATCAACTGCAGCCTCTCCTAACTGACGGGGTGTCGATGCTTCTCTTGGCCCTGGCCCTAACTAATGCCAACAATTGAGCACCGACTGTTTGCCAGACACCAGGCTGGAGAACTTGACCACATTCTCCCCTCATCTTAGGAACAACCCATGGGGTTGTGGGGGGAGGTGGTTTATGCCCACATCATAGGTGAGGAAACAGGCTCAGAGAAGCTAAAATGGTTTATTTAACCCACTTGTGAGCAGTGGAGCCCAGGCATGTGCTAAGGCAGTGTCTGAACACCAGGCTGCCACATTAACTAGAGAGAACTCCCCTCCCCTGTGGCCTGCTCCTTGTGTGCTAAGATGC